ATAGCAAAGTCAGAATTACCTCCTCTCCTAGGTTCACGAAACGGTCGTCCATAAAATGCATTGCTGTTCTGTTGTAAGTAATCTTAAAGATTCCTAAATGCATCTACTTTCGGAAGGCCAAATAAAGTGCTTTTGTTTTCGCACTGAAACACACAGCGTCTCCCTGACATGCTGCTTCAACACTAACTGCGGTTACTGAAACCACGCCTTCTTTCTTTGCGTGCACATTTGGGCGGCATTATGCTAATATTTCCATATAGTGAGGTAGATATGTGGGGGCGTGTTAGAACGAGCCGTTTAGGGGGGCGTGGCAGAGTCTTAACTTTGATAAAGAATATCTCTTTGGTTTTGAGACTTTGGTCTTTGCAACTTCAGGGATCTTATCTATGCACAATCAGCTTTTAACACTCCAAAAAGAAAGGGAAACTTGAAATCGCATCATATGACCCCTTTAAGCTCAGGCAGCAGACGTCCATTTGGCTTCTTATTTTAAGATGTTTATCGTTAGTCACAACCTTTATTTTCAAGTCGTTTATCATTTGAAGATTGATAATCAAAAAGCATCACATTTTGTCATTTGTGGAGGAATCAAACGTGGGCTGCTGGAGTTTTCTAGAGGAACACGAGGCACTGTTTTCAGAGCGGGTCGGATCTCTTTCTCTTCTCTGAGTGTAATTAACACTTTCACACTGAGGTCGTCCTGTCGTGTTGCAATCAGTGTTTGTTTTAACAGCGAATCCAAAACCCAAACTGACACGGTGTGGAATTAAACGGCACTTCCTGTGAAAACACCGGCTCTGTGTCACGAGGGGCCGGAGGAAAGCAGCCCAGCAGCCAGAGCATCAGGTTAGTACATAAATTGAAATTAGTCCAATTGACCTGCGTGCTCCAGCGACAATTACCTCAAATCGCAAGCAGATGCTCGTCGCTCTCATGACATATTCTTATACATCTGGCGCTCGGCGCTGAGGAGAAGTGTGTGTCTGAGGCGAGTGTTGAGGAGCGCACGAGATCGAGTTTCAGCGCCGCGGCGGTTTAATCTGAAGCCAGCAGCTCTGGAGGAAGATCTCATGCTGTGTGCGAGTTACTGAGAGAGAGAGAGAGAGAGAGAGAGTGTGTGTGTGTGTGTGTGTGTGTGTGTGTGTGCGAACGTGTGCGTGTCTGTTTGTGTGAGAGTGTATGTGTGTGTGTGCGCACGTGTGTGTGTGTTTTACTAACAGCAGAAAGTGATTGATCAGCTGTGTTTCTGTTTGAAGATGATAATTTCTGCAGCTCCTCCAGGAACAGGATTTTCCCAATTAATCACATTTACAGATTAGACGGCTCTGATCGATCATCACATTTATGCCCTGCCAGATCAATACTAATATACTTATGCTAATAGCTGGAAATCCAGTTTTAGTGCTACACATTGATGCGTGCCGTGCATCATATTTCTGCTCCGTATGAGCGTTTCTGCATCTGATCGCGTGCATCGCTTTAAGAGCTTGTGCTTTTGATTCTGTGAGGATGGGTGATATAACAAATTTGCAATATTATTGCAGTATCTTTGCTGACCATACTTAGGAATGCAGCAAAATTATCATGAACTTGTGTTTCCGGTCTCTTACACTGGTTTGTGTATGAATGAAAGTCAGTGGAAGTTAAAGTCTGAATAGATTGAGTCAGAATAGATCTGTGCAATGAGTATAAATGCAAACTAGAGCTGCTGCTTGTTCTGTTTCTGAGTATTAGTTAAACATTGTTGCAACAAGATCTACTCTTCAATTTAGCTTTTTTTTTTTTTACGGGTGCAAATTAGGGGTGTGCGATATTGACAAAAAATAATATCTATATTTTCTGGGATTTTATCGATAACGATAATCAGACGATATTTTGCTGAGTGTGTTATTGTGCTGATATCTTAAGGACTGCCGTGGACAGCTGACTCCTAAAGTTTTTAATATTCTTCATATTCTGTGTGCTGGTCAGTTCACACGGTTAGAAATTAATCTTTTCTAATAAGGTTAAATTGATTTTATACATTTTATGGGCATCTTTACCTTTATAAAGTCATTTTTTCTAAAAGTGTGCATCATCTTTTGAGTCAGATTCTTAAATTTCATGAGTGAATTAGAATAACAAGACATTTGGGCTGTTACCAAGCAAATGAACTCAGTATCAACTAAATTCATCTTTGCAATGCAGAGGAAACTCAGAAGCTGTGTCTGAAGAGGTGTTTAGATGTGTTTACTCACTCTGCAGTTACACATGCAGAAATAATGTTAAGATATATTAAAGGGGTCATATGTTGCGATTTCAATTTTTTCTTTCTCTTTGGAGTGTTACAAGCTGTTCGTGAATAGATAAGATCCTTAAAGTTGCAAAGACTAAAGTCTCAAATCCAAAGAGATATTCTTTATAAAAGTTAAGAGTCAGCCACGCCTACCTAAAACGGCTCGTTCTAACACGCCCCCACATGTCTACCTCACTATGTGGGAAGATTTATATAACGCTGCCC